GGTATGGGGCATGTATTTATATTTCTCTAGATATATTTCGGAAAATCCAAATATTTGAAATAAGGCGGCTTTGCCGCACATAAAAAAAAATAAAAATTAGGTTTAGATTTTAAACGGAAGAGTAAGCAGCCTTGGGTTAAGGCAATAATTACTCTTTGAGTAAGCGGATTGCGATCTACTAACTCGTACTTTTTCAGAGTATAGAACGAAAGGTAGGTGACCTAAAATACGCTTCCTCTAAGCGCAACGCTACGGCAGCCCCGCTGCACTTGGTAGCACTAGTAGACAATCTACACCTGAGTCGTTAAGCCTGATCCTCTGTGAGGAAGGAAGAATTTTCCTCTTTGCTCCAGGGCATGCAGGACGGGCTTAACAAGCTGATGTTCTTACTTGGCCCTGAGGGCGTGCAATACCTTGTGGCGCAAGACCCCGAGGCAATCAGTGCGCGCCTAGAGGCGTTTTCAAATTACAGAAACGCGCTGCTAGAGCACCTGCAGCAGAAAATGTCTGCATCATTTGCGTCTATGACGCCACCGTCGGTGACGGATGATTTTCCCCGCCCTAAGCCGCTCATAGTGAGCGTTAAGGTCTTCGAGGGGAAGGATGGAGAGAATTTCTTGCTCTGGATGAGAGAAGCTGATATGGCTATGGCATCCGCCATGCTCCAGAATGAGCAACAGCGCGTGGTGCTAGCTATCTTCAAGCTCGGTGGTTGAGCGCGAGAATAAACACTGACGTGCGAGACTTCGATTGAAGCGGCGTTTCCTTCCAGGACAGAGCTGAGGCTGCAGAATTTAAGAGCGCTCTCCTAACCAGGCATATCGCGTGCGATCGCCTTTTCTTGCCGCCCGACAGGGCGAGAAGGGGTTGGTGGACTTTGTCCAAGAGTTGAGAACTCTCTTTGTCTGAATGACAGCCGATCCTCTCCCCGAGGCGGTTGCAGTGACCGTCTTTCTGAAGGGCCTCCGCACTAGCGTGGTCAGTGTGTAAGTCTTCCGTGTGCATGTGTCTTCTTTTCAAGTAGCACATTGAATGCCTTGGTTGCAATGCACACACTCAGATCTCGTCGAGCGGGTCTGAGCCTGGATCTCAGCTATGCTGAGAAAGAGGAGGGACAGCGTTCGAACACCCGACGGTGTTTTGTCTGTGAAGACACCCGTCACCTTCAGACGGTTGCCCCCTCGCAAGTTGCGTAAAGGTTCATCGAACCGACGTCCCACTTCTAAGCAGTCTGGTTTGTCGCGGGGAGACGAGAATACCCAGTAGGTGCGAGGCGCCCTAATGAGGAAAAAATGAGCTCGGATATGCCTCAAAGATGTAGAGGGCTGCAGGGCCTAGCCTCGAAGAGATCCGTGCTCTTTAATACGAAACGTGTACGCAAGCCAGGCTTGTTGGTCGCAAAAGCGAGTGTGAAGGGCTTTGAGAATCCATGGAAGATCCTTATCGATTTGGGCGTCGGGCAATTATGCTCGACACTCCACGATAGAGGGATGTCAGCTGTATGCTGAGGCGATGAATGCGCGGTTGAGTGACATTACTGTTCGCTTAGCGACGGGGACTTGTGTCACTGCGCCGGGGGCCACTGTGAACCTCGGTGTCAAGCTTCGTGACTTCGATAGCGTAGAACGCGGCTTAGTCTTAGACTTGGATGCAAGGTATGACCGTATCCTTGGTATGGCATGGTTGGAACACCAGGATCCATGAAAAGATTGGAGGCTGGAGACCTTGGGCGCTACGCGCACGTCTCCTGGTGGAGCTTCGGTGAGTCATGAACTCTGCTAGAAAGCGGAAGCGCTATTGGCGCGGGCACTGGACCGGGACAGTCAACGTGCTAGACAAAGGTGTATTAGCCAGGAGTCCCAAGCGTCGCTCGTGGGCTGAACGTGGAGTGGCACGTAACCAGAGCGCTGCTCAAGTACCGGAGCCGTCGCTGCATGCCGTGCGTGGTATGGTCGGACAAAGGCCGAGGCATCGAGGACGAGGTCCCAGTGATGCACGTGAAGTAGCACGTAATCCACTGAGCACTGTTCAAAGCAGTTGCTACATGCCAAGAGTGGCATGATCGGCCAAAGGCCAAGGCTTCGAGGGTGAGCCCCAGTAATGCACGTGGAGTGGCACGTAATCCACTGAGCACTTTTCGGAACAGTTGCTGCATGCCAAGAGTGGCGTGGTCGGACGAGATCCGAGGCATCTTGGACAAGGCCTTTCAGATGCGCGTGGAGTGGGACGTTTTCCACTAGACAAGACTGCAGAACTAGCTGTCCTTCGTCGGATGTTGTTGATATCATCAAGGCTCCGGTAAAGCAGGAAGTGGAGATACTGTACGACGCTAAGTGCGTGTCCCCCCTGGTCTCGTCAAAAACCTCGGTGGAGAGAAACAACGGCGACGCCGTATATTTTCTGCAAGACGCAGAGCGTCGATCCTGCCCCAGGGTGTGCCGAACGTAGACGATAGCGCACAGCTATACGCTTTCGTCAACGACGGGGGAGGAAGACGGCGACGTCACCCTTGAAAGTATTCCTGCGGTGGATGTTCTTCTTGGGCTGAATGAGATGTCCTTCGAAGAGTTCGACAATGCGTTAAAGGCAGGGGGATTAGCCGAAGTGGTCATTATACGACCGGGTGAGGAGATCAACTCGTCGTCACTTCTGGATGAAGCTGTCCTGGAGGACACCAAGAGAGTGCCGGACGCATGAAGTGGATTGTCGATCCTAACGAATCTCTCGGATCCATACTATCCTTTGGTGAAGGAATTTCATTACGTTATCTCCAAAGACACGCCGTTGGTCCTACCTCCGGACAGAGGTAGATCGACCTGGCTCCGAGAACCAAATACTGCGTAACACGACAATGGCCCCTGGCCCATAAGCGGTGTGACGTCATTGACGCCTTCATTCCCTGCAAAGCACGACGCAGGAATGGTGCGTGAGAGCAAGTCTCCACTTTCGATATCCACCTCGGGTGTCCGGAATCCGAACAATTAGTGCCGTATCGCTCACGCTTATAATAAGCCCAACGCTGCCACCACTCCCAGACGCCGATTCCTAGGACGGATTTTCTTCAGAATAACATGATTGGATGTACAAAGTACAGTGCACTCGACTTGGTCGATGGGTTTTACCAATTGCTCGTGAGAGCGAGTGATATTCCGCTATTAACGGTGAGCAATCCGAGCGGTATGCTCTGGGGGTGGCTGGTGATGCCCCAAGGGCTGTCAAATGTACCAGCAACATTTAATCGTCTTGTGACGCA